GTCATNGTGTTACCCTTTGGGTCATCTTTCATCTCCGTGAATTTGGGGTCAATCGGTGCATTTTCACGGGATTAGCGGCCATAAGATACCGAAACTGAAAATTGTTTCTAATTCGGGAACCGTTAAAGATGCATACAAAGTCAATTTTTTTGTCACAAAAACCAACCAAATGCCAGCATATAGTTTCAAGTAGTATAGCTAAGAGAATTACCAAAAGGCATTGTTTAATTTTACCCGAAAATGATGTTTGAACGGATTTTTCTGCTGGCCTTCTAAGCTGTATGTCAATGGGGCAGGAAAGTAGGTCACGAAAGTAGGTTAAATTTACAACCATAAATTTAAAGAAAGGAGCAGTCTAAAGGTCTTTTATGGGTGATCAAGTGATCTATTCAGTTTATCCCTTCGCATGTCGAATTCATTTGAGTCATATAAGAATCTAGTACAAGTGGTTTACATATGTTACTGGGAATCCGCACTCCACTGATGCTCGGTTCGTATGTACATTTAATGCTAGAGACCCATTCTTTTTTGCATTTTGTAGAACATGTAAAGCCCAACACTGGAGGTGGTCTCTGTTTTTTTGTATTCCATACAGTTTTCAAGTTACGCTGTATCAAAAAGTACATATTGGTGGTGAAAGCAAAATGTGCAGTAATGGATAATAAATTTTGAACTCCGGAAAAATAAAACATAAAGCTTGGCGAGGCAAACAACTTGTGGTCAAAAATGACATTATTTCATCAAATTTGAACATCTGGAACTTCAGAGCACCTCCCATTTCAAGAATTTTGACCAAAATGACCATTTCTTTATTTTAATTAATTTTTTCTGTACGAAATTTATGGCACATTATTGTAACTCCAAAATTATAACATTTAGTCCCTTATATTTCCAAAACTGGCAGAGATAGGTCCATAGTTACTGTTGAAGTTGAATAGGAAGTCATATACTGGCAATCGAAATGTCGCCTTGAAATTGACCTTTGACCAACTTTTTACCATGAACAGAACTTTGCAAATGTTGTTCCCTTTTATCTCCAACACTGGCAGAGATAGGTCCATAGTTACTATTGAACTTGAATAGGAAGTCATATACTGGCAATCTAAATGTGACCTTGAAATTGACCTTTGACCTACTTTTTACCATAAACTGAACTTTGCAAATTCTGTTCCCTTTTATCTCCAAAACTGGCAGAGATAGGCCTATGGTTACTATTGAACTTGAATAGGAAGTCATGTATTGGCAANTTGAATAGGAAGTCATGTACTGGCAATCTAAATGTGACCTTGAAATTGACCTTTGACCTACTTTTCATCATGAATAGAACTTTGCAAATGTTGGTTCCCTTTTATCTCCAAAACTGGCAGAGATAGGTCCATAGTTACTATTGAACTTGAATAGGAAGTCATATTCTGGCAATCAAAGTGTGACCTTTAAATTGACCTTTGACCTTTTTTTACACCTTAAACTGAACTTTGCAACTTTTTAATGCTTTTATTTTCAAATTGGCAGAGATACGCCCATAGTTACTGTTGAATTTTAATAGAAAGTCACACGAGGCAATTTACTGTGACCTTAAAATTGACCTTTGACCTACTTTTAGCCATGAACTGAACTTTGCAAAATTTGTTCTCTTTTATCTCCAAAACTAGCAGAGATAGGTCCATAGTTACTATTGAACTTGAATAGGAAGTCATATACTGGCAATCTAAGTGTGACCTTAAAATTGACCTTTGACCAACTTTTTACCATGAACAGAACTTTGCAAATTTTCGTCCCCTTTTATCTCCAAAACTGACAAAGATACGCCCATTGTTACTATTGGATTTGAATAGAAAGTCATTAGAGGCAATTTAATGTGACCCTGAAATTGACCTTTTACCTACTTTTATGATGAACTTCGTTTTGCATGTATTCTGGCCTTTTAAATCTGCAAAATTGGCTATTGAACTTGCAAAGAAATTCATATACTATGACATTGAAATTGACCTTTGACCTACTTTTTCACCAAATGAACCGAGCTTTGCATATTTTCTTGCTTCTCATATCTTCAAAACTAGCAGAGATGTGCCCGTTGTTGCCCCTAGGTTTTCTCTTTTGTCAGCATATATGCACCACTGACAACACATTTCAAGGAAAACCAATAGGCCTTTTGTCTAGAGAAACACAGGAGTGATCAATGGTAGGAAAATGCAAGTCAATTTGAAAATCTGCTTGATTGTACCATTTTTAATTATATTTTTTTGTATATTTTGAGAACTCCTGTTGATTGCATTTTATAGAGCTTGTCAAGCACAAGACTGGTGATGGTGTCCCTTTTTGGAGGGGGGGTCCATACGAATGCGCTTACTCCAGCTGGTGGTACAATATCCGGAGGCGGTATCGCCTCTCTGATCCTCTAGTTATTCATATATTGATGTGTTCGTACCCCCTCAAAATATATCAAATACATTAATCCGTAGAATATTAATCCATAAACAATTTATTATTTTGCAATTAGCTATATTTGGCAATATATTCAAACCAATATTGTTCATTTTGAATGCAAAGAGTAGCATCTTTACTGATCTTATTTCTCTGCAAAATCTCTTGCCTGACTCTAATTTATCAGTATCACTTTATCGAATATATATTTATATACAATGTTTTTTCTAAACATCATAAGACAAGAATGCATTTTATATAGTCTAAAACAATATTTTGCATCATATTTTGAAGTTTTATCATCATTGATATGTAGCCAGTTATCCAATGGTTAATGTATAACTTGGGGGTAAGGACACTACAGTAGGGGTACGGACACTACATTTGGCACCAAATTTGTGCATATCTTTTCATAATAAGGGGTTATGTGCTATTTTCCTCCTGCAAAATAAATGTCATTGTAGACATTATAGAATAATAAAATCAGACAGAATATGCTGTGGTTCCTAAATAAAATAGATGGGGGGGGGGGTACGGACACTACAAAAAGTAGGAGACACCAAGGAGCTCATGATTATAAATACTGTGACGCGAGCCCTCCCCTCGGGAGTCCCGTGGGCACGTTAATTTATTCGCGGGTCGGGAGAGATGTTGATTTTCCCCAGGGAAAGTATATCCCAAGCACAAACAACAAGAGTGGATTTCAAGTAAAGACAAACAGCTTTAATAAACGTAGAAATCGATTATAAAATTTCAATAACACGTAAGTAAATTAAAGACATTTGAGTAACTCGTACGCATCTAAAGTCATTCATGTTACTCGGTTCAAAATTTCATGTTACGTTCGCACAGAGTTCACAGTTTCTCTTGGAGTCCAAAACATAATAATAACGTCGAACTAAATCTCAACTAAAAATCTTAATAATAACGGAAACGCTACTGAATGGGTCCAGTCTACTGTCGCGGCACAATGCTTCGTTTCACATGAACAGTCCTGGAGAATGGGCTATGTATCCCCTGTAGATTCAGGCATCCCCACCTGCAGCTGCATCACTTTACACGAAAAATCCTGGAGAATGGGCTATGTATCCCCTGTAGATTCAGGCATCCCCACCTGCAGTTGCTGCATGCCCGGACGCTGAACAATTGAATCGATAATAAACCAAACGTAAGATAACTCAAATAACTCAACAAAAAGTTACACGAAGGTGTCCAGTCTCTTGGCTACGGCACATGGCTTCATTACACACGAACAGTCTTGGAGAATAGGAATTTTCCCACCTGGAGTGGCCAGCTCTCAGGATTTCCACCTGCAGTATCCGACTGTCAAGAATTTCCACCTACACCCCTCATGCATTGGATCGTCGAGATCGGCAAGAAGTTCTCCATGCCCGGCTGCTGGTCAAATGAACTAAAAACGCAAACAAAACCAAAGAAACTCAAAAATAACGAAACTAAAGAGTTTTCCCAGTTACGCTAACGCATTACTGGAGTTGCGGTCCGGAAGACCAGTGTAACTCACGTTTCTGCTCTTCTGATTCTCTTTTCACGTCCTTTCTTCCTATTTCCACGTCTTTCTCCTCCTTCGTCTACTCACCGACTTCAACGCTTTTTCCAATGCTCCCCTTGCGTTTTTCTTTTTCCACGATCTACGTTTGCGTACGTTGTATGTGAGCATCATTTACGTCTAGGTTCCGTCCCCTTGTTGTTTGTTTACATTCTGAGGTCACAAGGTCACGTTAACTATGTCAAGGCTGTATGACGTAACACAATGGCGGCTCCCATGTTCATCTGTTCATCACGGCAGTGCGGCAATAGTATTTCAGGTAAACAACGATAACTAGAAATAAACTTCATCAATATACAGAAAGGATCAGGGTACGACCCGGTCACGTTACAATACCATAGCATTAATAATAATGGTTACATATGCACAACTCCTTTCTTATGTTTAAGTCATAACATGGTAAATTCATCTTATTATCACGTAGGTGATTTCAAAGTAATATTTGGCCTAATCAAATGTTTTTCATTGCATTAACAAAAATAAGTAAAATGTGTACAAAAGCCTGATTCAGCAAAATGGTTAAAATAATTTTTTACTCAGAACATATCTTTGGAAGAACCTGCTAGAAGAGAAGACATATGTCCTGGGAATTATATACCAATATTATATTCACCATAAATCATTGACATAAAGAGCTAGTGCATCATATTTATGACCTAAGTTGCAAATGACCCATCGTAACAGCTAGAAATAGGTACTTTTTGGACACATAATTGGCCATATTTCTGTAAATTGTAGTCCAATTATTATAATTCTTTTTTTATTTTGCTCCTATGAACAGTGTCTTTGATATCAGTCTATCAGCAATCTCCAATCATAAATTGTAAATTTATCAGACACTTGTAACATTAACCACATTTAATTGTTCACCCTGATTGTGAAACAGCCGATATATATATATATATATATATATATATATATATATATATATATATATATATATATATATATATATATATATTTTTTTTTTTTTCTTCTTTTTTTTTTAACCCCTACCCCTAACTTTCAGAAAGCAGCAGGAAATTCATCAGCATAGATGAAAAAGCTAAAACCAAGGAACAAAAAGCAGTAGAATTTCTTAATGGATTGTTCAACCCTTTTAACTACAATATTACCTATTCCAAGCCCTATGAAAAGATAGTGGATGCAGTCCGTCAGAAAGGGGGCTTCAAACAGTTCGGGGTAGGCCCCCTTCAAAGATTTTTAGACAAAAGTCCCTGTTTTGATTTGAGGAAAAATTCAAAGGGTAAAGTTGAACAAGTGGTCAGCTTGCCTATTTCAGATACTAAAAATGAAGATCTGAAAGAAGAGTCATGCTTTGATGATGCAGCATTATGTTCTGATTCTGATCTCTCTGAATTGGAGTCTTTTGTCACCTGTCCAAGTGATGTGACTTCTAGGGACAACACTCCTTTACATTTTCTTTCTTCTTCAAAGGGATTTCCCCAGAGAATTGATTCTGAGATCATGCTTGTAGGATCAGAAAACTGGCAAAAGATACAGAGGAAAAAACGTGATAACAAGACTTTAGGTACTCAGTTCCCAACACTAAAACAATCAACTGAAAATGACCAAGTATATGAAACAGAAATGTCCAACAAAATTTTTGAGTCTTTGTGCCTGAACAGTTCTGCCTCTGAACATCTTGAATTTAAACCTTCTGATGAAGTATACTTCTGTAGAGATAAGGGGAAGGCTTCTTTTATGGAGGACATTGTGTCTTTTTGGAATACACCAGGCAGAGAAGGCAATGCCTACATAATAATTGGAATAGAAAAGTGTTCTCATCCACCCCATAAGCTGATTGGAATCGGTGATGGTAGAATAGATGCAGATTATCAAAATTTGTTCCTTGATGAGTTCTTCACTTCTCGGCCGAAGTTTCGGTACATTCAACATGAGTACGATAAAATGTTGTTCGGAATAGTTATCATTTCTCCTTCACAAGGAATGGAGAAACCTTGTGTGGCAGAGCAGTGGCATAGGGAAGCTAGTTGGAATATAGGGGAAATTTGGGTTAGACGTGGTACATCAAATCAAATACTACCTGTGAAACACCATGACAGTGTGTACAAATGGTTTCAAAAACCTACACCCTATAGTGAGGTTGTTAAAGGTCGAGGTAAACCACATTCATTGAGAAATAATGCACTGCAGAAGTTTCTGGATAAGGTTGATATGTTCAAAGATTACCAGCAGTTTTTACTCATTGTTGGCCAGTGTAAGCATGAAACAAGACATTTGCAGGCTTTAACAAGCATCCCATGGTTCAAGGTTGTTGATTTTGATACCATGAGTAGGGAAAATGGTACTTTCAGTGTTTGTGAACCTCTTTTGAAAACAGCAAGGTACTTGGAAATTTCTACCTGGCAAGATCAGCCTGGTAACCTTGGGCCAAGGTCAGTTAATTGGTTCTTCCCAAGAGGGTATCATAACTGTCATGAGATGCTTGATGATCCAAGGTCTTGGATTAAGAGAGCAGGTCCCATGGTTGACGAACATTGCATTCAGATTGCTGAGTATTGCAACAGCAGCAGGGTTTTGACTGCTGTTATACTATGGTATGGGGCTGATCAGAGTCTTGAATACCTTAGACGCTTTATGGCAAAGCTTGATGAAAATGTCGACTCTTTGAAAGTTGCATTCTGTATTCCATCTTTACCAGATGATCCTGCTGAGCTGAAGTTAATGTGCAGAGATCTAGATATTGATCCAATATTTATTTCATTGGAAAGGATCTGTTGTGAAATAGAAAGCAATTTTGGTTCACAAATATCTGAACAGGCAGAAGCCTTTCAATTGCCTCATGAAGATGTTGAAGAATGTGGCCACCTTCTGACAATAACACCACAAGATGCAGCATGGCTAGATGCAGAGCTTGATGTTCTTTACTTGTCCAAAGACAAAAAAATCTACTTAAAGGGGGGTGATTCGAAAGATGGTGAACAGTTTCTGCGTGGAGGCCAGATATCTTGGCATGAGTTGAACATTGGCTGTTATGATGCAAGACGGGATGTCCTTCCTTATCTGTTGAAAACTATAAGATCTTTTGTTGAGAAAGGAAAGTCTGCTCTCATAAGTCTAAACCATGAGCCTGGCTCTGGGGGTACCACACTTGGTATGAGAGCTCTTTGGGATTTGCACTGTGATGAGACGTGTGCTTGTGTCTATGTGTCATCTCCCCTGTTGAATGCAAGCAGTGTGTTCAGTCGCATTGAGTGGCTTTATTTGCACACCCATCTCCCTGTTGTGGTCTTGATTGATGGTAAAGATATCACACAAATTCACAAGATTTTTGATCTTTGTCTACAGGAGAGGGTGATTGTTCTCTGTGTGCAGCGTTACAATCAACCAATTGACCTCAACTGCAAAAGGAACAGGTCAGATCAGATTTGGCTCTCTGGAAAAGTTGCAGTAGATGAGGCACCAAGATTTGATGCAGCTTTTTCAACCTTTTGCAAAGGTACTGATAAAAGATCTAAACTCCAAGAGCTTGTCTATGAGGTGAAAGAAAGGGAAGTCCACTATGTTTGGGAATTTGGAATTACCGTGTATGCAGAAGAATATGTTGGCATTCAAAGATATGTCAAGGGTTATCTACAAATTCCCTCTACAGGAGACCTTAAGCCATGGCAGTATGTTTTGGGTTTTCTAGCTTTAGCTTACTTCTATGGCCATGTTCCTGTCCCTGCTCAGTTCTTTGCCAAACTGCTCAATGTTTCAGAATGTGAGCAAGTTACCCTTAACTCTCTGCACAGCCATTCAGCCAGCCAGTTTATCATTGAGGAAAAAAATTATTGCTGGAGAATAAACCATGTCATTGTAGCCAAAGAAATCCTTGAGCAGTTACTTAGTAGAAAACAAGACAGCCAAGGAAGTAGAAATGAGCGTCTTAGTTTGAATGCATGCCAAAATCTTCATGAGCTAGCCTTGAAGTTAATTGAGGAGGCAGGGAAACAGAAGATGAAAAACAAGTCTGCAAGCCCCGTGGTCAGTAATATCATTAATAATACCTTCATTCAGCGAAACTACAAAGAGCTTTCTCAGGATGACAACAGAGTCAAAAGAAAAATGAAACTTTCCCAGTTATTGTATGATATTCCACGCGAAGAGAAGAAGGAGCTAGTGTTAAAAAAGCTAACAGAAGCCTTCCCAAAAGATCCTAGCTACTGGGCCCATCTTGGAAGATACCATGGAATGAAAAACCCTGAAAGCAAAGAAGCAATCAAGTGTCTTGATAGAGCCTTAGAACTTAGACAAAAAGAAATTAAACAGAAAAAAGAACTTGGCAAAAAACAGGACCCAGTATTGTGCCAGGTTTACCACATGCATGGGATTATATTGAAGAAAAGGATAACAGCAAGAATAGGGGGTGGCATGATTGACGAACATACCCGTGGTACATTTAACCCTGGAGAGGAAAATTTTGAAGCTGTTTTAAAGGAAGTTGTTGGGCTTGCCAAACAAGCTGCAGAGTACTTCAAGAAGTGTCGTGAACATCATGCTGAGGGAATGGAAGAAAGCTATGGATACATTGGAGAAATCAGCACATTATTACATGTAGTCGATTTCTTGCAGACACATGGGAAGCCTGCTGGATATTTTGGATATATGAAGCTACCAAATGTTGATCCATATTTGAAGGAATTTCTTGAGCCCTGTTTTCCTGATTGTGATAGATTGTTGAGAGAATGTGAAGAAAGAACAACACATGACCTTGAAATGACACAGTCGGGATCTGATCAGGCCAATTTGTCACATCTGATTAATTGGTTCAATGCTCTTTTTAAAGATGCAAATGAAGTGCTCAAAACTTGGCAAGGTGAAGACAGTATTCAAAACAGACGGACCAAGGTTGCATTTCTCATGATGAAGCACCACTTCCTGTCCAGTCAGAGCACAAGGCACCTAGCAACACTGGAACAGATCCACTGCAAAGCTGATGTTTTACACCTTATCAACCTGTTGAAGCAGAATTTCAAGGAAGTAAAAGATCGTTGCTTAGAAATCAACATCACAAATGATGTGAAGAAATGGCTAAAAGCTATAAGGCACCATCTGTTGCCTGAAAGGGATGACAGCATCTCAGAAGTTATGGAAATTGTCCGCATGTGGTATCAGATTAGTCCCAATGCCCCAGATGCTGTGTATTACATGTATGTTCTCACAACTCTGTGTGCCATTGGTACAACAGGTTGCCCAGGATCCAAGAGTGATTTTGTGGAAGCAAGCCAGCTGCACATCAAGCTTAAAAAAGTTGGAACATTTGCCAACCGGTTTTGGAGAATCAGAGAATGGTTGGGCAAAGGTGAAGGTATTAGGCGTCTTGTCAATCATGTACAACTAGGAGAGTGGAACAAAGAAGGACGCTTCTGGAAAGACTCATCAAAACATGAGCTCCTTCAGGTTTGCAGAGGAACAATTCTGTCATCTGTAGAGTTGTTTCGTGGGACCATTGCCCTTGACACAAGCCACCTCAAAGGAAGTGACCCCATCAAAGTCTTCTTTGTGCCCAAGTTCTCTGGAATGTATGGCAAAAGATTTAAACATCAGCATGTTGAGTTTTACCTGGGATTTAGCATGACTCATGGCTGTGAGGCATACAATGTTAAAGCTTTACAGGAAGTACCATGTGGGTACTGCAAATTGCCCACAGAAGTATCAAGCTTGAGACCAAGGGTGTCCCATTGCAAAAAATGTAACAATCCTGTGAGATTGCCTGCAGCTGAAAAAAGCTGTCGTTCGGCAAAAAATTAGTGCTTTGACAACCTGAAAGACTTTATGGTAGTTTCTTTCACTTTTTTTAAGATTAAGGACTGTGTGGTACCATCTTTTTTAGTAGTAGGTTTCTGTCTGACCCTCTTGAAGCTAACTTCCCCTTTTATTATTCTGTTGGAATGCCCATTTCATCTTGAATTTCATCTCAATTTAATATCAATAGCATCTTTTATTTTGAAGGCTCTTCATCTTCTAACAACACACAGATGAACGAGCACTTTCTTGAATAATACTGCTGCAGTGCCATCTACTCCCCCCCCCCCCCCCCCATCCCTCTGTCACCTGAATGTAGATTCATAGGGGCAGACAAGCCATCTTCAGGGTCTTCTGGAAAACCATCAGAATTATTCAGGCATCCAATTTTTTCAGCCAGAAGCGGTTCAAAAATAGATGTTTCAACAAAGGTAATTTGGAAAACTCAAAAAAATATCTCTGAATCTGCCCCTGATTCATAAATCATCACACCTGATTTTATCTCGTTTTGTTATTCCTCATGTGGCACTTTTATATTTTTGTTACTTTCTCACATTGCCCAAAGCATGACTAAATGTGTCATTATCATTATGTATATATATGCACTGTACATGTATGTCTTTCTGTGATCCATTGTCAATTTGCATTTTTCCGTGAATAGGGATATGACATTTCAACAAAAGAGAAATAGGCAAGCCTGGATACTTGCTCATCTTGTTTTTTACTTAGTGCATGTAATAAGAAATCATTGAGTATGTCTATGTGTGAAGTGATGTATTGCTAGTACGGCTGCAGCATGTCGGTTTGACCCCAAATCAGGTCTAACCAAAGACCAAAATAAAATGTTAACTGAGTGCAGTATGATATTGCACTTTGGGTGTGAATTATAAAGAGTATAGTGACAGTTAAACAATGGCATTATTATATGTTAGTTCAAAGGATGAAGTTGTCAAATACAGTAATGAAATTTATATTTTGCTATTGTCTACATTGGACAAAGATGTTGTATTTGCAGAATGACTGCATATTGGAAGGGATGAATGGATGCAATTAATGGATACTGCTATAATGGGGCTCAATAAGTCAGCGTTTTGCATACATGTCCTGACTGAAGATGCCCTCTAATTGCTTGAGAGTGTATTTTGCTCTGTGTTGTGGAGTACACATGATGATTGGTGAAGTTAATTCAACATGGATATTTGTTGTCCATGAACATGACCAATTTTATGATCGTTGTGGATTTACTTGTTATGATACCCAAATAATGTATATATTATTTAAAGAAACTGCTCTAAAAGAGCTTGTTTAGTCTAGTTAGATATAATTTTGTTTATTGGATTTTTTAAAAGTACATACATCATATTTTTGTGACAGTTTAGATAAAAATTATGAATACAAACTGCTTTGTACTGTACCAGACACAAGAGGAGTTGCCCACTGTATTTGATCAAGAATAGTGCCATTATTGTCGTAGTCAAGATGATTACACTCTTGTTAACTGGACTGCTCATCTTGTAACTGGCTTTTCCCTAGGTTGGGGCTTTGAATTACACTTAAAGGCCAGTTGCACAAGAAGACCACGAAAAAGAGCATAAAATGCATTGAAGTGCATTAAATAAAAAAATGGGCAAGTGTACACTTGACTTTTAAGCAAAATACAAGTGCAAATATTCTGATTATTCTATTATTTAGAGCGCCTGGTCAGCCTTGGGATTGGGCAGATGAATGCTGTACAGCTAGTGTTACTAGACATAAGTGGGGTTTTTTTTCCAGTTTATAAGAATATGCTATATGCTGAATTGTTAATGTTTTATATAAACAAAAAAAATCTATTTTTGGTAGCATGTAGAAAATATGTTAATGATGCATTTGAATAATCATACAGATTATTGTAAAAATTGTTGTACAAAGCTACATGTTTTATTTTATTTCAAATATTTGTGACAGAATTAGGTATTTATTTGTCTAAGTGATTCTTTCCATGATATTGTAGATGATTCAAAATCTCGCCATAAGTTATTAGTCTTCTGAATCAGTTCTTAAAGAACAGTACTGAGGCAGTTTTGATAGATATATTGAAATATCACACCCTCTGATTATAGAAGAGGTTGAAAAATGTATATTACCATTATTATTGTTGTAATTAATTGGTAGTGTTTTTATTATAAATTTTATTTCATTTATGGCATTGATGAAGTTGTTGAAACACTTCACCTAAAATGTTTTCTATATTCTACAGTTTTCATTCACACATTATCATGTGTTCCTATTAAATTTTGTGAATGAAAACTTGAGTATAAACAGAAACACCTGTCAGTTTTGAACTACCTAAAGATATTGAAGAAAATGCCCAGCACTTTGACTGGACAGGATGGCTCAAGTGGTACAGTGCTTGCCTTCAATGTAGGAGGTTGTGGGTTCAGTCTCTGACTGGGTCACACCAAAGATCATTATAAAAATGGTACCTGCTGTCTCCTCATTAAGCACTTAGCACATAGAGGTTGAAGTAGGGTAAAAACACTTGGCCACATGATAGCGCTCTGTCGGTTATGTATAACTGAGTGCCATATGTGCGCAGCTTGCAACGGGTTGTATTCTCCCCTGGGAGGTGAGAAAGAGTTGGAATGGAACCAATATATTTGTAGCAATTATGATATATATATATATATATATATATTGCGAAGAAATAACAAACCTCAATTATTATTATTATTATTATTATCAGGCCTACCCAACTACCAGACTTGGCACCGAATGATCCCAAATTCACCAGTAGATTCAAGGTAGACGTTTTCAAGGTGTGTGTCAGTATGCATTTCACAGTATCATACACCTAAACAAATTTTGAGATGAGATGCACTACTTTCCAACCCTGCTGAGTATCATCACTATCACATCGCATACTAGACAAGAGCGGTGTGGCGTCTGATACTTCAAAGCGTGTACTGATACACACCTTGAAAACAGGTATTGTGGTCCGATCTACAGATGAATTCAGGATCAATCGGTGCCGAGTCTGGTAGTTGGGTAGGCCTGATTATTATCAAATAAAGATGAGAGACAAGTGTGATAATAATTTGTCGAGGCTAAAGGCTTGTAAAGCATAGGTCTACCGAGGTAGTCTTGTAAAACATAGGTCTACCAAGAATGATGACTTCCAAGTTAAGACTGAGGTGCAAATAGATTGATGATTCTGGTTTTCTTTTTTACACACAGAGTACCCTTAAAATAATAATACAGTATATGCACCAAGTCAGTACATATCTTGGCTTTTGTATCCCAAAATTAATTGTGCCTATGAAATGAAGCACAGGTACTTAGCTTACATCTGGCTCAATTTGATGAGCCTTTCATTGAACAAATGCTATTTTATGTGTGCTGTATGTAAGAGACAAAATGCCAGAATCAACAAATTACCCAATGTTCTGCAAAGGTGGGAGTTTAACCCACATTTAATTACAGTTTCAAAATGAGTTTTAAACATTTTCACGTGTCTTTTTAGTACATTTTACAATGACTGTGACTCAACAAGTATAGTCTATATACTTAACAACAACACATACAATGTATAACTCCAATTTATAAAAAAAAAAGACAAGGTCTTTATTTTGGTAATTTTAGTACAAGCGATACCATAAATTATTTTGCAATTTTTTTTCTTTTGTGTGTGTGATTTGTTAAGCACAGAAACTCACTGTCCCTTTTCACATAGTGTAACAGCCAGTACTAGTAAACTTCAATAGGTCCTGACATGCACTAGTAATCACAATTCACTGAATACAGGTTTTCTTAGCTTTCACTAGTTCACTTTCTGCTATTTAATTAATGTCCAGTGCAGGAACTTCATTCAGGCATTGTCAAACATAATATTTGGGCTATTGAGCCATCAGCCTCTCAAAGTGAACAGAGGTCTTGATAATTATAAAGTATATCGCTCACTGTGAAAAGAGCCACAGGCACATCACAAAATGACGAAGACTATATTTGAAACATTTGAAAATTTATACCTAAGCCATCTTCAAGGTCAAATAAACAAGGACCATTTTAGCAAAGAAATATGTTTAAGAACTTTAAGGATATGTGTGAAGCAAGAGTTAATGCCCTCCAACACACACACACACACACACACACATATAATATCTGTGGTATCCAGAGAGCTCAACTATGCAGAGCATTTATACACAATTAAAAAATAAATAAATAAATAAATACTAGACATGTGAACCCCCAACTTTTGAGTTTCCGGTCTTGAGGTGTTTACTTAAAATAATGTTTTAACTGTATTTTTTTTTTTTCACGGCATGACAACACTTACATCGCACTCTGTTGCAGTTATGTCACCTTGCAGTTGTGACGGCACAGGGTGCATGGTTATAATTATAACGATATGCCATCACAGCATGCAACATAGTGTAGAGGAGAACCTGGACAACATACATGCACTTTCTTCACGTACAACTAAAAATTTTATTAATTTTTTTAAGCAAAATATCCCTTATATGTCCATTGATCTGAACAGTAAACAAACCTTGAATGATTTGGCTGTATGTGGAATATGAATAACATAAGGATTTTTTTCTTCCTAATTTTGATTTATTGCAATATTTTAAAATATTTCCACATGTATCAAGAAAGCAATAAATGAGATGCCATTTAAATTTATATATATATATATCTATAAGTAAAGTTGAAATAAAATTTGCGATTATGCAAGGTGCCTCATAATGGCGAGAGATATCAAATAATACATTTTGTTCGATTTAAACAAAGATTCCAAAATTGTCAAAAAAAAACAACAAAACATTCCTGGGTATAGTATAAATATGAATGGAAAAGATGAAGATGACAGGAAATAAAAAGCGTTCCAATATGTTTTCAAGTTTACAAAATATTTTTCTACAAGAATGCTCCACCTATTCATCAAACAATCCTGTTTAAATTTAACCAAATGTCTTAACTGGAAATAAATAATTAAAAAATTTCCATAGGAAACAAGTTCATTTTCATCAGTTAAAATCTTTCATATCATAAGGATGAAAGCACCACATAGAGGACTATCATTTCATGCATTTCTGGTTAATTACAAAATATGCATTAAACTGGACACAGAATAGCAAGACTGTGCCATTTAAAACCTTTTCTTTTGTCAAACTGGTAAAAAACTTTGCCTTGTAAA